CGCCGGCAACACCGCTTCGCAAGCATTCCACAACGTGCAGCCAAAATCCCCTTTCAACTCCAGACGGGTATCCATAAACAGCATCTCCACAACAGGACCCTTTGTGCATTAGTCCATGTTGTCAGCCTTAAATGGGCAGTACCATTTAGTCGTACAGTTGACCATACGCAGCGATTCACACGGCAAAGCGCCGTAGATTCCAATGAAATCCTTCAGACGGCAATGACCACCCTTCCGGCACGGTGTATACGGCTCCTTGTGCGATGCCTCCGTGCCGTGCAATATGCACGCGCTGCGGGAAAAAAAGTGATCGGTGGCGCGGTTGACCAGGAAGGACATCCGCCAGCCGACCAGGTACAGCGTGGTTGGACGGATGCCGGGTCGGTGCTTGGCCATGAAGGGCAGCACGTCGACAAGATGCAGCACGTCCTCAGTGCACATCTTTCCCTTTCGATCAACCAGCGCCACACGGCGCGTGCCAGGCCGGAGACACTTAAAGAGCGCCGTCGAGGAGAGGAAATGCCAGTGTCGTTTAGAATACCATTTGCAACGGACGAAGCGCTCAAGGACGATGCAGGCAGCGAGCACCGGCGAATCCAGGATCAGGTTCCAGGTGGCGCAGACGGCACGCAGCCGCGTCTGCGTCACCGTGTCCAACTGGCAAAATGCTTCCCGCCACAGTTCCGTCGGCAACGCACGATAGTCTTCCTTTTCAACCGCCTCTAACGCGCTTCTGCGCAAATAGTTAGATCGTCTCACTTCTCTTAATATGTCCTGAAAATTGCACAACAACGCACCTTTTCAAGTACGGATTCGTTTAGTTTCGTAGGAGCATCGTTTTTATAATTACCGAAAGGAATAGATCCATAAAGTCGTAGCGCATGCCGCGATCGTCCGCTTTGTAAGTGCAGACCAACTGGTCAGCGACGCAATCGACCACGCAAACATCCGACCAGGGTTTATACGGCTCACAATTAAACCAAAGCTAAATGAGTCCTTGTACTTCCTCCGCTGACAGCTGACGCAGCTGTTCCTTCAACGGCTTACCGCGACGGATGAACTCGCCGGAAGTCATGGGTCGGTGCAGTGCAGTGTAGATAGTGGGAGATGCCGCGCGTCGTTTGAGCTCACCTGTCACCATCGCATGCAGTTGATCCCGTCCCGGAAGCATATAATGCTTATCGAGGTAATCCTGAAATAGCGGGCAGACGATGCGCTCGATGGGGACTACTTCGGTGCAGGAAAGTCCCGTCACAGCATCCTGCCACTGGACAACCGGGGCTTCATAGAGCGCGCAACGCACACGGCGGCCGTGACAGGATATTTCCCCCGGGACCCACATCCACGGAGCATAGGGCCTCTCCCGCACGAGGACAAGCACGGGAATGCTTGGCAATTGGGATGCGTAGAGTGCGGCTAGAAGAACTCCGGGAAGAACGCGCGGCAAGAAGCAGTTTTCGATCAAGTAACATTCGCGACGCCGGCCGGGACACAGCAGATCGACCGAGAGCCCTGTCTCATGGACGCCCACCAGGCGGCCGAAGCGCAGTCGGCCGTCGCGGCCCAGAACATGCACGCTATTTTTCTGTTGAAACCCTGCGCACATGGTTGGCTAGGATGGGAGTTTAATCAAGCAACACTGTGAGAAAGGAGAGAAATCACTCGAAACCGAAAACTGAGACTGGAAAATGCTCACTATGGTGATCGGCTCACGCTGTTGATATGAAAGTGTATGTCGCTAGATCGTAGCAACTCAGTGGCTTATTTACTAAACAGAGCATTTAGATTGTACCGATGTCGAGGTAATTAATGTGGTGCGAATTGGTTGCCACAGTACTGACAGCAGCGAGCACTGCTCACTGGACAGCAGGTTGCCAGCAACCAATGAGCGGTGGCTTAAAAAACAACTCATAAACTGGAGCAAGGCATCTCATCGAAACGAGTGGGACTATACGTCCTCGTAAAAATATTATAGTAGTAATGTAGTAAAAACGAAAGTTGAAAGTATGATTTGGTGCACAAGGGCAAGAACGACCGTCTCCTCAGTCCTCACGTCATCGTACAGCTGCTTCGCGTCTCCTTAAACTGCAGTACAACACTATAGTGTTGTACTGCAGTTTAAGGAGATTTCGCTCATTGGTTAGTGGGCTAGCTAGCCCACTAACCAAAGAGCGAAGTGTTTGCAGTTTGCCTCTCTTTTGCTGCACAACAGTTAACGCGTAGTCGCTTTTGCTCGTTACTATTAGTCACTAATACCGTAGTATTATCGTTACGTTTGGCTGCACCTGCATTTTATTTCCCTTTTTTTACTATCCACTGCAATTCTCCAGCTAGGCCAACGGGATCTGCATGGCGTAGACGTACTGGGCCACGACGACATTCTAGGTTACGGGCACGTCGTGTACGTAGGCGAATTCGGGCTTTTCGTCGACCTCCTCGGTCCGCAGCCTACCCCGAATTTATCCCCTTTGGCCGCGCCTTCCTGATCGATTATCATCACCGGGGAGCTTTCCAGCTTCACACCAGATTTCCATCCATTGTTCCTGGTACAAGGAGGTGGTGGTCCGCTGGGGACTAGCCATGGAACACACGGATGTCGTCCCGTTGGCGCGGGTTCGCGGAGACAGCCTGTTGACGGGGTACTGCCCCAATGCGTGAGGCAGTCGATGTTTGTTAGACGCTGTCTACCGTTGCCGGATAACACTTCCCAGGAGGCGGTATCCGACGCGCTCGAGCAGCGAAACCGTGGAGCCATCCATTCGCCTGCGCAAGCCGCCAGCGTGGGTGTGGTGAACGGTTGTGTCGTCTACATTCAGCGCCGATCCGACACCGACAAAGAACTCGTAAGCAAATAACTCCGGATTGTTGAATTCTGTAATTGTGCAACACGTTGGTTAATTATAACGCTATTTTACAGGAAGCTCTATACATCTTCCACCGCAAGTTTGGCGACTACACTTCCCAGATGCCAGACAAGACGCCGGTCATCCCACCAAAGAGCAAAACTTCGGCACTTTACGAGGTCGTCCCGTTGCCAGTGGAGATTTATCTGGAAGTCTTCTCGCATTTGGACACTTTAACGCAGACGAAACTGCGCGCTGTGTGCGTGACGTGGAACGCCATTGCGGATTCGCCATCCTTAACTGCCACTCTCGTTCTCGACAGCGCGGCCGTTGGCCCGATCCGTGCACACAAGGAATCGTGGCTGACCTGTTCTCTCCTTGCTCCCGTCTACAAACGCTTCTCATCGTCCACGCAACGCATTGTCCTCACTGACGGCGGACGCTGCCTCGAAGGAAGCCACGTCATTAAAGTGCTGGACATGGTCAAATTTAGTTCGCCACCTAATTTCGGAATCCCTTTGAAAAGGGTTCATTTGCATCGATTAGTGTTCAGTCTGATGGTCACTACCCGCTACGACACGGTGACATCCGAGGGCGCACCATCCGTCTGTCTGCTGCATGAGCCGCGTGATCCGTCTCGCAACTTCAGCATCAATCTGGCTGGTTTCATCAGCGCCTGCAGCAATCTCCGGTATGGAAGTCTCCAGTTGACGCATTGCTCCATCACGTTGGAGTACAAGATTTCGTCCATGCCGAGAGACAGCGAACTGAAGATTCACGTTCCGCTTAATGTCAGGCAGCGTATTCCGGGAGCAGGCGACGTTGACTGCGCGGTGTGGAGGGCGCTGGAGGCGGGGCTACCCCGCCCACCGGTGAGCAGCTGTACTCTCTGTCCGCGCTTTTGACAGCAGCTACAGCGGAGCCTTTAACGACGAGACTTCCTGCAGGTCCTCTGCAAGGTGAGTCAGATCGACGTTGACAAACCGGGAATAACTGAGTTTAAGTGTCGGCTTTCGCAGGTGTTGTGTGCTCTGCAGTCGGCCGATCCGCGTCCCTCGCTGCACTTCCGCGGGAAGCAGTGGTGTGTGGAGGGTGTCAAGAACTTTCAGATTGAGAAACTGTCGCTGCAATTCTTCCTCCAGCTGGCGGTGTGCTGGGAGCAGTGGTGATCCTGAACAGGATCCCCAAACGGCAGAAGCCATGGTAGCAGCCATAGTGTTTGATCAAAATTTTTAGTGATTTATCGTGCTGTCAAGACGTTGTTTACCGTGATTCGTGAAGATTCGTGGCTAATTGTGCGGTTTTCTAAGGCGGGTGTCTGGTAATTTTCGCAGTCGCTCTCCACCTTTTCTTTAAATAGGCTAATGTGTACGCGCATGCTTGCGAAGCGGCATTGCGGCTGTTTTCGATTTTTGTGACCTTTTTATATACTCTCTTTTATCTTTCTATATATTTTTTTTATATACTCTAGGTTCAAAAGCCTTATTGACCAACAAATTTATAGCTCTTATAAGGAATATAAGAATAACTTTCAATAAAACATAATATTGTGACCTTGCAAGACGATCTGCGCTACCTTATCGCAACACTATTTCTGCATTACTTATTACTTTTTACCAAAGTAAATTACTGAAAATGATGATATGCCAGATAAATTCAGTCCGTCTACGCACTACTGCTTCCCGCGGTACAGAGCTGACAGACGCGGATCGGTGTGCAGAGGGAACGCGATGACTTCCAACAGTGATATCCACAATAACCAGGTACAATGAACCCAACCATCTCAAGCTGTCGTTCAGTAGTAAAAAGGCAGGATACGACTGCGCGGTAGAATGTTGTGTGTGGAAGCGGAAGTGCCAAAGTTACCCAAGATTTTGTTGTCTGATTATGTAGTTATGTGATTGTTTCGTCCACTAATTTATCAGCATATAGCTTTTGGTACGCTGCAAAGTTGAGTTCGGTAACATGGTCGCCTTGAAAAATTTATTATTAATGTTAATCTTCCTAACTGCACGCAACGAGGTCCGGAAGTGTGTGGGCTATCTGAGCGGAGGCTGAAGGGGCACCCGGCAGGTGTCGTGCTCGGCCTGCACGTGCGTGCGCAGCGATCGACCCGTCCTGCCTGCGCCCTTCTACACCTTGGCCCAAACACCCAAATCAAAGAGGGTAGGCCTGGATGCCGCGGATGGGTACCGTGTTTCGTACGTAACGGGTGTAGCAGTTACTTCGCCATCGCCCCGCTTCCTGTAAGCGCTGATGGGAAGTGCCATTTGCCGCTGCGGCGCTTGAGCCGCCGATGCGGAAGCTGTGGGTGCCGTATCTGTCGATGTCGGGAACTCCCGCTAGACCGGTCTTCATGGCTCTTTCGAAGGAGTGTCGGGTGACGTAACTGCCGCTCGGTAGAATGTAGAACGGGTCATTTTTGCCGGTGGTAATTCGGACGTCCATGTAGGCTTTTGTGGAGCGCACTGGGCAAACTGAGTGGCCGGTGGCGGACAGGGTGATGCGGTAGCCATGGTGAAATTGGTCCGTTTTTGAGCTGCGAATGGTGATGATTAGAGCATTTTCGTGAAGGATAACGTCGCTGAAGCGGAGAGTGGAGGCTGGGCAACACTTCCCGGTCTCGTTCGCTACCAGCTCGCTGACGCGGAAAAGGCCAAAGAAGGCAACGCAGAATGCACTCCAGTAGAGGAGCTGTTCCTGTTGCGGAAGATGCGAGTTGTGTAGTTTGTCTTTCATGGAGCGCATCAGATCCAGCGTTATTGGCAACCGCCGATCTGTACCTGGCATGTTGAGCCGCTTCAAGCCATTGACCGCCCGCGTGATGGCTGCGGTTGCTGAAGGGCGACTGATGCCTACCTCGGAGTGCGCATTGTCGATCCCGGCAAGGTAGACGATGGTGGTGGATGTTCCCAGGCCGTCGAGGTGGAGTTGCGCATTAAAGCGGAGAATAGTCTGCTCTGTCGCTGGTATAGGAGGCTCGCCGATGGTTTTGCAAAATTGCGCAAAGCGGCTCCATCCGGTTTGGTAGGTCTTCCTGGTAGAGGCAGCGATGTGGTGAAACTGGACTGATGCGATGGTAGCGTCCAGGGCTGCCGTTAGCTGTAGCTTAGTCGCAGGCTTTCCCACATGTCCGGTAAGGGATCTGGTAATGTTGCGGCGCCCGGTGCAAGGCGGCGGAACCGGCTGACCTGAAAGCGTGATAGTGCGTCAGCGATTGCGTTGTCTGTCCCATTGATGTGCTTAATGGTTAACGCAAAGTTATTCTGAGCAGCAATCATGCTTAAACGCCGCATAAGGTCGACCACGCCTGGATTGCGTGAGCCTAGCTTTTCCCACGCTTGGGAAGCCCCTAGATTGTCGCAGTGAAAAACAACGCGCCTGAGTACGAGTTGATCTGCCCACAGCGCGACTGCGAAAAGGATGGCACACATTTCGAGATACTCTATGCATGGTGAGCAGCCCAGTATCCAATCTGGCCAGCGTGACTGAAACCAGCGGCCTCGGAAGTAGCCGCCTATACCGAGCGTTGCGGATGCGTCGGTATAGAGGTCAATGGTGTTTGATACTGTCCATTCCGGTTCTAAAAACTTGGTCGTGCCGTTCCAGCGCGGAAGGAATTCTAACCACCATTCGACGTCTAGGCGGAAGTTGTTGTCTAACCGAATGGTCGCATTTGAGGCTTTTTTGTGACATTCATTTTCGCTGAGGAGGAAGGTCATGCGCCTTAGATAGAGCCGACCGGCGGGGACGCATTTGGTTGCAAATGCGAGAAGACCGATTAGACTCTGCAGATCTCTGATCGTACACAAGTCGCGGTGGCGCCACTGCTCCAGAGCGCTTGTTAGCTCCTGCAGTTTGCCAGCTGGTAATGACAGAGTTTTCTTTACGGAATCGAGGACGATTCCTAAAAAAACTATTTCGGTGGATGGGCCTTCAAGCTTGTCGACTGCTAGGGGAACACCCAGCTCATCGCAAAGCTTTTGGAATGCAAGAACGAGCTCCCGACACCGCTGTATGTTCTTGCATATCAACAGGAAGTCGTCGATATAATGTAGGAGGTCAAAGTGCTTTGCGATCTGACTAAACATCCAGTGTAATGCGTCGGAGAACTTACAGAATATCCCTGGTGCAGACCGGCAGCCGAATGGAAGGACTACGTCGTGGAAGTACTGTCCATCCAGTTGGAATCCAAGTAGGTGCCACTGGTCGCGTCTCACTGGGATTAGTCGGAAAGCGTTCTTGATATCCAGTTTTGCCATGACTGCGGCGCTTCCGTTGCGTAGAATCAATTTGATGACGTCGTCGACCGAGCAGAACTTGAGTGGTGGGGAATCTTTGGTGATGTAGTCATTTATGCTGTCGCCGGTTGGTCGTGATAAGTCGGAGATGATTCGATGGCCGCCGCTTTTCTTGGGCCGCACTGACTGAGAGTTTGTTGTGAACGGGATAAAGGGCACAGTTAAGAATGGCCCGCGCGTGTGACCTGCTGCCACCTCTTTGGCAACCGCGGCGCGTAGGATATCGGCATGAGAGGAAGCGGAAATTGCATTAGGTGTGAATCGCGACTTGTCTGGACCACGATACCCGATGTCGGCACCGTTAGTGAGGATGTCCAGAATAAGGTTAGCAATATTAGGGAATGGATAGTTAGTAAGGTGCCGCCGCCACGCTGAGAAGTTGAGCGGAGTGATCCGGCTTGCCGCGAATGGCGCCCCCGGATATGTCTGCTCCACCATGGCTGTGATGGTTGTGGTAGCCGTGGCCATTTGAGCCGCAGATGGAGCAGGAGTGCTGCCGACCGGATGGGCATGGATTGCGGCAGCGTCCGTAGTTGAAATTACGGCAGATTTCCCCGTCTGCGGCGGTGCCGGCTCGAAAAAGCGGCTTAGGCGACGGACAGTCTCTGGCTAGGTGACCCGTGGCAGAACAGTTCCTGCATTGTGCGCGCTGATGTTTTGGGTTGCCGGTAAAGGTCACGCCTGTGGATGTGGAGGGAGTCCTGGGATTTGCTATGCATTCCTGGAAGGATTCTTCGTGTCGTCGCGTCCACACCTCGGTGTCCTCCGGGTTGTTGGCAGCATTGTTGCGAAACTGAATGTCGTATTCCAGCACGTGCTCCAATTTGTAGCCCCGTAGTGGATCCATAAGCAGCGCAATGTGGTCCAAATATCGTAAGAGTGGCTGGATGAGTTCCGGGTGGTCGATTATGCGATAACCCATGAAGACGGAGAACGCCCTCGTCCAGCTGGAGACCGACGTTATCTGCTCTTTCTTCGGGCCTGATACGAACGCAATCTCGCCGGTTTCGTCCTGGATCATGCGGGTGCCGGTATTTGACCTTTTTGCAGGTGCGCGATTATGTGGCAGAAGGTCGACAAAGTCCACAAACTGCGTGTGGTCAAGGAGTTGCTCCCGCACCTTCGGACTCACTGCCGGCAGTCCGTGGGACTGCGCGGTGCAGCTGTTCGGTGGAGCTCCCAGTCGTTTAAACACGGATACTTTTGGCGGTATAACAGATTCGGTGATCACACTTTCAGCTCGCTTACCGGTATCGGTTGTGATGTGGTTGGACGCCGGGGAAAGTGAGCGTTTGGAGGAAGAGCTGTCGACCTGCAGCGCCGGCTGGCGGGAGCCATGCTGCCCAGTGGATTTCAGCTCGGTAACTTCGCGTTTCAGGTCCGCAATTTGTGCCATTAGCTGTTCTATGACGCTGGTTGTCTGGATGGAGGATTCCGGTGGCACGACAACTCGGGAATTCACTCGTTTGCTGGGTCGCGGAGGCGAAATATCCCGAGTTCTTTTACCGGTATTTCCCGCTGTCCGGGTTCGACGGCGCGCAGCCGGACCTGATGGCTGGCCTGCATTGTTGTTTGACCTCTTTGGAGGCATGATATAATGCGGATCCGTGTTAGTGGGTTGCGTAATTGTTTAGCAGACAATGTGGATGGCAGGTCACGCTGTCTCTGACTCGATCAGACTTGATCGCTTAGAGTGTTATCTCTGACTCGATATCAGACTATCGCTGAGAGAAAAACATCGAAATGCCGGTAAAATGCAAAACTGAAAATGAACAGATCGGTGCTGCTGAAAACACCTTATATAGGGAGACATGCACAGCCGGACAGTGGGCGTAACTGAGAAGACGCAACAGGGACGTTAGTCCAATGAACATTAATAGAATTTAACATGTTAAATTATCACTGTTATCGCCTTGCAAATAAAACCGCAATGACTGCCGATTATGTGACACATAACATTTGATCAACCGAATTGTATAACACAAACAGGAAAAAATACAGAGTTCAAATAAAACGAAAGAGCGAATCCACGTGCATTACTTTCTACCTGGAAATAACCCGATGCACGACTTCAGTAACGATTAAGAGGACAAGAATCGCGCAGGCCTTCATCTTATCGCTCGATCCTAGCTGCATTCTTCAGCACTTCAACCAGAAAGTGTCGGGTAAGACGCGACAACTTCTCCAGCCGCAATTGTCCCAGTCCATCCACGCACCACTTCTTCCCGCGGTAATGCGCCGATGGGCGCGGATCAGCGGACTGCGCCCCGCACAGTGTCTGCAAAGCGAAATTTCCATTAGGTTCTTGGAAATAGCGTTCGGACAAATGGCGCTGTAGTGTCGCGACAGCCTAACTGTCTTTTCTACCTTGCAGAAGAGCTTCCTCAGCACTCTCTCATAATTGGAATCCCCGCCCATGTTCCACTCCTTGATTAGTTCCGGGAGATTTTCCCCACGTCTCCAGGGCAGCGCAGCCTCCAATGCATCCCACAATGCACAAGCAAAGTCCCTACCAAGCTCAAAATGGGCGCTGCGAAGACGGATCTTGGTTTCTGCCTTAATCTCCTCCTCCATTGATTTGACGTAAAACGAGCCGGATAACTGGACGATGCCATTCGTGATAAGGATTGTATCGCACGGAAACCGGTGGCACACTTCAATGAAATCCTGCAGCCAGCTACGATCGCATTCCGCATCCTGCTGCGACCGCGATGGAGACGGATGCTGGTCGCATTCGTTAGCGTGCAGGCCAAGGCATGTGCAGATAGTCATAGAGTAAATTAGGACGCGGTGCAGATAGATAGTGCGCAATCGGATTCCGGTTTGGCGAGCCGCCAGGTACTGGATCAGGTCGCTCAGATGCCGCGCGGTGTCCGTAAACCACCAACGTGCTCGGTCGGAGCTGACGGCAAGGCGGCGTGTAATGGGGCGCAAACATTTGTATACACTGTACAGCTCAAGAAAATTCTGAGGATCATTGCGGATGGCAATCGTGGACTGCAGTGCCGGCGCATCCATGATGCGGTTCCATGTTGCGCACACCGCGCGTAGCTTCGTCTGGTCCACGGTGCTCAAGTGGGAGAAGACCTCCTGCCACAATTCCGACGGAAGCGCCATCTGGATCGGAGCCTCTGCTGGTTCTTCGTTCGTGCACGAAAACGAATTAGAATAAACAAAAAACTGTTGGTGTAAAAAGCGAAAAACAGATTTCCAGAGCGGCGTATCGAAAATGGCGTTGGAAAACCTGCAGGTGGGTGCTGTTGCAGCACTTTATCAAGCATTAAGGAGAAAGGATTCCAGAAATAGCGTCAGATTACTGCAATGCACTAATAGTGACTGACACCTTTAGTGTACTTCGCAATGCTCGTACATTGTACGCAGCTCTCTTGACGCAGCTTTCTATAGACACAGCTTTCTTGACAGCTTTCTTGACATTGTACGCAGCTTCCTATAGAGAGCGGATGTCCTATAGAGAGCGGCATCCGCTCTCTATAGGATCGTTCGATAGAATATTTCATTAGATTTGTATGCTTTGCCGATAGCCTAGTGGTGCCTCTCTCGGCCTTAGAGTATGGAGGTTGTGGGTTCGATTCCCTCAATCGGCAGATTTTTTGCGAGTGTCTGTGCGAGCCTAGCCCAGCTCTTTCAATAATTATAATTGTGAAGTTCGGGTCCCAGTTGCATTTGGTGAAGACAGTCAAAACTCTTCCGCTTGGCGTTCGAAGCGGGAGAGGTTTTGGCAGAAATGAATACTATCTGGCCGGGTTTTCGATTACGGGCTTTCAGAATATAATATTGGTTTTGGTCAGTCTTTTCTGGTTTGCCGGCTCTGGTTTATCCCATTCGTGGCAATATAGATCTGAATCTGGATAACAAATTCACAGTATTTGGTACATAATACAGAAAATTGTTCTCATATAATGTATAACTGCTAGCGATACACAGGTCCACATTATTATCGTTCAGGGGGTAACGTCAGA